GTTCTGCAGGAATGCCATTAACGGATAGCGACATTAGGCATGACTGTGAACCATCTGGAAGAGTTCGTTACGGAGCTGTCTACGGTAACTGTATGGAGATGTGATGAAGTGAACACACGATGCCTCCTCCACCTCTCTACTAGATGGGTAGAACCCAGATAGACAGATGTGGCTGGGCTGCATTGAAGTGAAAACAAAGTAGAAAGGAGGAAATGACACCAAACCTTACTTTTAGGCCGTTATTCCTACGACTAGCGGCCGGCATACGTGACGGCCTGTACGTTTCTTCTTCCCCCAATGCAATTTCCTGACAGGACGAAACTTCAGATCCAAAGGAATTGCCAAGAGGGATCAGTGACTTTGCAGTCCGATACCTTCTCGTTTGCACACAAATATGATGATTGGCACTGTTGGTTTGTGGTTGTTTATCAAACGGCACCGACTACAGGCCGTGGACGACCATCCAACGAGGAGAGGTAGACTATGCAATGCCCTAGTTGTTTGTTTAGCCCTCGTTTTTGGTAACTTGACGTAGAGGGGAACCGCCATCTACAACCACCGGACGGTCCTGCTTCGGGTCGATGCCGGTAGCCCTGTAGGCCTCTCTGTGCGTCAACAATACGCATCCTGACCGAGTGTTATGTCTTCTTTCGGCTTCAGGAAAGTCTCGATTCACTACACTTCCTTCTGGTCATCATGGAACACCGTCCTAGGGTTGGTTAGCCGTATTGTAAACCCATTCCACGCCAGAACTTTAGGGGTATTTGTTGACCTGTGGCAAGGAGCCACGCCGATAAGTGGGAGAGTATTATGCTCCTTGAAAAGCGCTCTTTTCTTTGGTGTACTCAAAAGTTCCGGTCTGTCTCAAATGCCTCATATAAATGTTAATACCTAGTGCTGATGTTTCGGGTTTGGTTGCACGAAGACGCTTTTCAAAGACTGGAAGATAGTAGTTTCGACTACTGAGATGAAATTTGCAATCCAATGCTAAAGGGATAAAACATTGTGCTAAATTTCACTTATAAACAACGAATTTAGTAGGATTTTTGTCACCGTTGGGCAATTATTACGTTTACAAGCCTTCGAATATAGCATCTTGCCTTTTAGTTTCTGTTTAGGAATATTTCGCTGCGTCGCCTGGTTTGGGAACAATATTGAAGTTGAGGTCGACGTCTAGCGCACAGACGGGAGGCTTTGAGCCTTTTCAATAAAGTGAAGAGTAGCCGAAAAATTGCTTTGAAAGAGCCTGTGAGCCAAAATGATTCATGAGGCTTTTGTGCCTCAGTTGGGACGCTCATTCACACCAGTCGCCAGTTTAGTCAATTAAAAGACTCGTACAAGTTGAAGAGAAAGGCTCTACTCGAGAGTCGACATCAATTGAAGGCGCCAAACTGTGTCGCCTCTCTAATCATCTAGGAGTGAGTACTGGAGTATTTTGAGCTGTTTTGCGACAAGAATCATGCAAAACTAAACGAATTCCCACCACTCTGCAACAGCTTGACCTGCCCGAGAAATTGAAGGATTAATTCCGCCTCCATCTGGAGTCGCACCACCCAACTTTGGCACCCTAATCAACCGGGCGAGATGCGCCTCATATTCTCGAAAATATATTTAGCCACTTGTGACTTTAGCTTTGAAATACTGATCTAAATCCTTCATTTTTACGATTCCTCGTGTTTCTTATGGCATTCATTGGCATGAAAGTGGAGCAAAATTTAGTAGACATGCATGTTTGGGTGCAGCTGATTTGTGTGACAGGAGTGGGCAGTGCGAAGCCTTCAAAAGTTAACTCGTGCTAAAAAAGTGAACCTTAGCATTTATTATTGCCCCGAATGTGATTAAGAGGATATCACTTTGCATTTTAAAATTGCATTAACACAACTTTGATGCGTCCAGTGGAGCACCGATTGGTGGAGAGTGGTAAGTCCATTGAAGTGGGTTGAGAATAGAGTAGCCTCCAAGTCCTCTACTGATTGCAATGACTATGCAAGATTTTATGACCAAATCGGAGTTCATAAAACTACCATCACGATGCACTCCCTCCATATTCAATCCGCTGAACTGTCCACTTCATCCCTCCCGTTTGAAGCTTAGCATTAGTACAAGTTCTGTGTCTCAGGCATGACTTCCAGTTGGTGCTTCCTTTGGTCTCCTGATTATAGGCTTAAGGCAAAGAGAACATCATTGCAAGTCCTCCAAATTAGTCTTCCACTGCAGCTTGGGAACAACGTTCTGAAAAGAGAAGAGCGCTTATCTCTAGATTGGCGCGCCATTAACTCAACTTCTCGCTTTCAGCCCATACCACCCCAAAACCTAGCCGGAGAGGATCACTTCGAGAAATCCTGTCTTAGCATGAACAAGATGCTTTATGATCAAACCGTGGTACCCATTTCATTCGTCCTCCCAGTAAAAGAGCATTATTCCAACCTGGATCCTAAGGCAGGGCTCCAACTCAGACCTTCATTCATATTTCCCAGCTTCCTGACATGCATTTTACGCACAGAAAGAACAACATAGCACTCTGTGATAACGGGGGCTGTTGAAGGACGGGATTTATTGGGAGTAGAAAAAGGATAGCGCTACAGAGAATGAGCATCGCCGTTGTCAGCAACAGTAGACGCCTTCAGGGGAGAACGAGGTGGAGGATCTGGGGTGCGCGAGTCGAGGGTGATCGTGACAGGGCCGTCGTTGACTAACGAGACATCCATCATTGCTCCAAAGACACCATCTACAATGATATTCAACAACAAAGAAGTAAAGCAGACCATATCCACAACCGAAAGACGTGTGATAGCGTTAATGCGTTCGTCCAGACGTTTTATTGCTTGATTTCACGTTATGATGTTGAAAAATTAATAAAAAATTGTTCAGGTCAAGAACAGCCCATCTCTCATGCACTACTTCAAACTCAATCACCTGCTTGTGACTGGATTTCGAGCAACTAGCGATCATAAACTGGTCAATAGCGCACGTCACACATTCGTGACGTTGGTGGATAACGCGTTATGGGCCGAAGTGATGAGGTAGTGATGGGTGGGTAAGAATTTGGCCATATTTCTCGTTCGTAGATTAAGGAATACTTCAACTAGGGTTGAATTTAGACACTAATTTCAATATTTTAACGATACTTTGTCTATGCCAGGTATTACAGGAGGTAGCCGCTCCCATTGGTGGCTGCCACCTCTGCCTCAGCTCAGACCTCTCACACGGGAAGCGAACCTTTTTACCGAAAGTGACCTTTTCAACCACTCGACCCCTCATAAACTCACAAACAGGCAAACCGACCAAATCGCTTGTTTATGATATCTTAAATTGCCTGGGCTGATAGTGTTGTGGTCCAACGACGGAAGCCTGAACTTTTGAGCTATCCACTTTGAAGCTGTGTAGTTGAAGATGTGAAGATAGTTCACCCTCACAATTGCCCGAGAAGCCAACAGATTAGGCGACATAATTCTTCTATAAGCAATGCCTTTTTTGGATCCCCTGTATCAGGGTAGGTTTCCCTACAGGGTCGGCAAACGGTCCTGGCTAATTTAGCCATGTAGGCTTGTAGTTTTAAGACGGCTAGGTGTCGAATGGTTGGTCTCCAATCAGGCTGTCGACATACACGCCTTTCCCACAAGACACATTAAAAGCGATTCAGGACACCTGACACACGACAAATTCACACGCTTCCTCTCTCCATTCTGAAAGCATTCAAATTGGAAGTTAAGAAGACTTGTTAAGGCTTCTCTTGAAAACTGGGAAAAGCACTCCCTAAAAATGAAGATATTTGTCGAGGCCTTTTGGTTTGATGTATCAAAGCATCACCCAAGTTGGAGCTGCAATAACTCCAGAGATCGGAGGCTTGTGCATTTCATAGAAAATTTAGATGGCAGTCAACTGATTCTCGGGCACCATACCCATACCTAGCAGCACATCAACAAGGAAGGCAAGTAAATGACTGGAGGAGATACGCTAGGCTAAATTTAAACCTGCCTCACTCGTCCAAGGCGATTGCACATTTCTGTCCACTAGAATGAAGACGGGGACGGAATGGGATGCCCACTTATTTACACACGCTGGTAAAGTCCAGTTCAGTTTCGTTGTCCCACTGACTCGTCTCATTTAGCTTTATACTACCGAAATAAGGGATGCTGCATAGATTTAGGCCAGGCTTTACGCCATAACCTCCTCAAGGTTTACCATTTTGCCTGCTTCATGTGTCAAATAATAAAGTGGATTCTTGGAATAGTGGAGATTTGAAGTTGAAGGTGGTGGATGATGAGGAGGTGGCGGGGT